TTTCTGTATTGTGTCAGATTTGTAGATTGTACACACAAAAATTCAGAGAATTTTTCAGAGAAAGTTCAGAGAAAAATTCAAAAATTCAGAGAATTTTTGTGTTTTTGTCGATTTCCCATTCATTTCCTATGGTCGGTCATTTTTGACCGAAGACCACAAGTGTGACTATTTTTTTACGACGACTTAGTCTGTTCGATTCATGCCCTCAATTTTTGTGTGTGTTCACATTACAAATGCCATAAGAGTCACCAAGTTTCGTACCATTCTGATGAAGCTGTGATTTTTAAAAATTCAATACAGAATTTTTCGGTCAAAAGACCGAAGAGCACCAGAGGGTTAAGCATCCCTAAAGTTCGTACTAATATGGCTCAACGGGCATTTAGTTATGCTACTCCATTTGATTGGAATCAACTACAAGATAAGTTATGCTTAAAAGAGTTGGTATCACTAAATGATTTTAAATGTATTTTAAAGGATCTATTTGTAGAGTCACCTGATTTGAAATGTTTTGAGTGATTTGTGTATGTTTCTGTGTATGTAAACAAATTTATTTTGTTTTATGTGTAACTAAATGTGCTGCCTGTCTTGGCCAGGACCCTCTTGTACATGAGATTTTAAATCTCAAGAGTTTTTACATTTCCTGGTTAAAAAAAAGGTAAAATAAAAATAAAAAATTACATGAAATTGCTTTTTTTTTTTTTTTTACAAACACATGCATAATTTCTGAAATTAAATGTGACTTATTTTACATAAGTAAAATAATACTTATTTGACATAATATTTAGTAAAGTATATTAATCTGAAAATTAATAAATACGAAAAATCGAATAAAACAGTGAAATTAAGTGATTTACTATTATCAATAGTATAGTGACATATAAAGCATTGCTCACAAAGACATTTCATATCAAGCCGCTTTCTATTGGTTAATATGCATGACCGTCTAAAATCTATTCCTTTACTATGCCTTTCTGAGCATTCTCATCTTCAGTTGTTCTTTAGCATTATGTTTGTTTAAAATAAGTAGTACTAAATTTGTTTGTCTTCAAGTCATACAGTTGAATAGGTTGCAACACTCCTCTTCTTCGGCTGCTGAGTGCAGCTCACAGTAGAATCTCCCTGAAGACAAATCAAATTCAACAACATGTTCTGGACTGTTAATATCAAGGGCTGTAACATAGATGTACATGCTTTATTCAGACAAGGGGTAAATTATTGAACAAGCCCCACAAGCAGGAGCATTTAAGATGATCTATTATTGAAGGTGTGCATAGGTGGTTGATTGTAATTAGACGTGTTGTAATAATTAGAACCTAATAAAACAGCATTCCACACTGTACAAGTTATGAACAGCTTTAAAAGCTTATGTAATAATTTACATAACATCAAGATGTTTCAGTCCTTATGATAGCAGAAGAGAGACAAGTGCATGATAGATAATAAAATAAACTGCATTACGCAAGACCAATTTGGAGTAGACGTCACAGTTCCGTCACTTGCAGCTGCACGCGCATAGTGGTGGCAGAAAAACACTGGGAACAAGTGGAGGGAAACGGGTAAAATCCATGGAATAAGAGAAAAAATGTATTGTTGTGCCTTTGGATGCAGAATCGGAATGCAAATTATTTTTATATAACACTGTCTCAAAGACGCCATTTGAAGCTAAACACAGACGTTTAAATGGACAGACTATGAATGAAACCTGCTATGATTACCCTACTTTTAAAGCATAAATTTGATTTAAACAATAAGTCTATATAATATTCATATAGAGCACATATTGTATTAGCCCTACAATTGAAATACATGCATGAAATACTATTTAAACCTATAACATTTTACATAACATTTACCTATTTTATCTCACACTTCTGACTTTTTTTCTTGCTAATGCACGTTTATATCTCCTAGTTTGCACTTTATAACTTTATTCAAGTCAACAATTGCGAGTTTGTCAATTCTGAGGGGAAAAAGCCAGAAGTGTGGGATTATAAACTAAAAAGAAAGAATGACGAGTTGATTTTTCTTACCAGAATTGTGAGATATAATCTCGGAATTGCAAGAAAAATATAAACTCAATTAAATTTCTTATTCTTTTATTCCATGGCTTGAATAGATTGCTATGTTAAAACTGTAATTTTCTGCCACCAGATATGCTCCGCCCACAAAAAACGTCATCACTGTTTGCAAACACTGAAATTGGTCTATAATATTAATAATAATTAATGCACATTTGATAGTAGCTTGAGTTAGGACGCAGAGGCAAATTTTTGTTCATTATCAAAATCAGTTAAGATCGCTAAAAATTGTAGCAACCTCAGTTTTATATGGTTAAATGTATTCTGACCAAGTTTTTATTTATTTATTTTTAAATTAAGCATCGGTCTCCCATGGTAACATACATTTAAATCATGATAAACACAGTTAAAACCACACATATAGCACCTCAATACCATGGTAAAAATATAACTATGTTTTTAGGTAGCCTATTTGAATGAAAAACAGTAGTCTAAAAACATTCAATATAAATGCACACATGCTATAGCTTAATCACAAATACATACTACAATTATATACCATTACTCCTTTAATAAAATTCAGTGTGAATATCCCACATTTCTGTGAGTGTTACTACAGTAAATCCATGGTAAATGATGCTGATTTGTAGATTGAAAAGCCTTCTGACTGTCTCGTTGCACAGTGTTTCTCCTGTTTGGCTTTAAACAAGTTTAAATCACAGTCATTTGTGTTCATTCCTGAATTCAAGCGCTTCACACTGGATCTCACAGCGCTGCTTAATGCTCGCGCATTTTTGCTCGTTTATGTGGGCCGTCCCAAGCATGGTTGCAATGTGTTCATTGTCAAACTCCATTTTTAATTCTTAAAAAACGTCATTATTTTATTTAAAAAAAATAATAATAATAAAAAAAATAAAAAATAAATATATATATATAATTTGTTTATTTATTTTATTAACAAAATATTTTAGTTTGTCTTGTATATTTTTTTCATTCGATCAGATAAGATTTTAAGCTGTCATATGGTCAAGTTACAACGTGCCCCTCTGATGTTACAAAGTGTTCCACCTACGGGGCATGATGTCACATTTCACTTTCATTTTTTGAGGGTAAATAAAGAAAAACTTATACACTGTAATTATGAAACAAAGCGACATATTTGTACTAGACAAGTGTAAAATTACTGTGGATAAAAAAATATATATATATTCTGAACCCCATGTGGATTTACACAAACTGAGAAAGTCAAAAAGTGTTACTTTGTGCCCCGCTCTACCCTACCGCTGTAAATAAATTCAAAATAAATTAACGTCTCGCGCACTTTAATGCCCTTTGAATGTAACGTGTACGTTCCCTTGGAACTGGAATCATGGCGGAATTTCATATTAAGTCCACTTCGCAGGGCACTTACGGTCGAATAAGACAACGCGTGAACGCTGCCTGAACAAGAGACCTCCTTAGTGAAGTGAAAGTGTTGACTGGTGTTACTATCTCG